GATCTTTTTGAAGTCACTTGCTCTGTCCCAGCAGATGATGGCAGAAAATATAGCACTCTCTACAACAGACTTATAGAAGATATGCAGTATCTTGCTGCAAACGTTGAAGGACTTCAGCTTCCTCAAGAACTACAGTCTGCTCTGTCCCTTCTTGTAGACGCTTCACTGTTGCATTTCCAGTCCAGTCTGTTGTCCAGGTGAACTCCAAGGTATTTATACTTCTCCACCACCTCCACTTCTTCTCCAATGATGGAAATAGGGTTGGATCTGTTCCTGATTCTCCTGAAATCTACAATCATCTCCTTTGTTTTGTTCACATTCAAGATGAGATGATTGTTCCCACACCATGCCACAAAGCGGTCCACCAGTTCCCTGTACTCAGCTTCTTGTCCATCTCTGATACACTCGACTACTGCAGAGTCATCAGAATATTCCTGCAGATGACAGGAGTCTGTTTTATACTGGAAATCTGAGGTGTACAGAGTGAAAAGGAATGGTGAAAGTACAGTCCCCTGTGGTGCTCCTGAGCTACTGACCACCTGGTCAGACACACAACCCTTCAGTCTCACAATGTGTTCTGTCCGTCAGGTAGTCTTTGATCCAGGTGATTGTTGAGGCCTCCACCTGAGTCTTCTGGAGTTTCTGACAAAGCAAATCAGGCTGGATTGTGTAAAATGCACTGGAGAAATCAAAGAACATGACTCTCACGGTGCTGTCTGCCTTTTCTAGATGACAGTGAGTTTGCTGAAGCAGGTGACATCTTCAACTCCAAGTCCACGCCGATAAGCAGACTGCAGTGGGTCCTGATATGTGCTTGTTTGTTTAGTCAGGTGGGTCAACAGAAGTCTCTCTGGGACCTTCATGATGTGGGATGTCAGGGCAACTGAGGACTGATGGGTGAGTTTTATTTGGCACTGGAACAAGACAGGATGTTTTCCACAACACTGGAACCTTCTCCTGGGTCAGGCTAAGGTTGAAGAGGTGCTGCAGAACCCCACAGAGCTGCTCTGCTCAGACCTTCAGGATGCTGGGACTCACACCATCTGGACCTGCAGCCTTATTCCAGTTCAGTCTCTCCAGCTGCTTCCTCACCTGACTTCTGGAGACGCAGAGGGGGGAGGCAAAGGAGGTATCATCATCTTCTGATTTGGTTGAAGACCAATATGTAGAAGAAGGGTCCATGACTGAGGTGGTAGATACAATATTTGAGGTGTGACAGGACAGCCTTGGGTCAATGGAGGGTGGTATGTATGTTTGGCTGTGGGCAAGAGAGGAGGATGCTGAACTTGTTCCTGAACTGAACCTGTTGAAGAACGTGTTCGGTTCATTGGCTCTGTCCAGGCTTCCATCCTTTTGATCCTCCTTCTGCTTGAAGCCTGTGATCTGTTTCATCCCTGACCACACCTCTCTGATATTGTTCTGTTGGAGCTTGCTCTCCAGCTTCTTCTTGTACACCTCCTTTCTATTTCTTATCTTGACTTTTAGTTGCTTCTGTGTGCTCTTTAATAATTTCCTGTCTCCCTCCCTGAAGGTTCTTTTTTCTGGTTTAGCAGTTCCTTCAGGTCAGTGGTAATCCAGGGTTTGTTATTGGGGAAGCATCTCACTGTTCTGGTGGTGATGGTGTTGTTTACACAGAAGTTTATATAGTCGGTCACACACTCAGTCATGGCACTGATGTCCTCTCCATGTGGCTGGCACAGTGCATCCCACTCAGGATCTTCACTGTCAGGAGAGAAGGCACAGCTGACTCAAAGATGCTGCAGCATGAGTTTGATCAGAAACTGAAAGGAAATGTAACCAATCACAAAGGTGATGTAGAGTGGGCGGGACCAAACCGTGCAGAGGTTTAGCTTCAGGAATCCCCTGCAGGCTGTATGTGACAGCAGTAACTGTTTGTGTTCAAAGTAGTGCTTGCGGAGTTGGACTTTAAGCTGCTGTATTCATACATATCTGCTCACAACAGACTCATGTTCAGGCTGCTTTTTAATATACCGTATTATTTTACATTATTATTGTTTAGTGTTTATCTTAGATACTTTACTGTTTCTTTTTATACTTTATATTTTGGTTATTTTGGGATGTAACTGGGAGCTTGGGTACACATTTTTGTTCCACCTCATGTACCGCATGTGACGCAAATGACGATAAAGAACCTTGAACCTTGAACATGACTGATTCTAGCTTGTTAGCATCACCTTATCCAAGGTTATCTGTTGCAGAAATCAAGATTTTATTCCAAACAGGAGTACTGACTCCAGCAAGGGAACTAACAGAACATCCCTGATGCTGAACTTTATCTATGGATGATTTTATTTTTCTACAAATCTTTGTTATTCATTTTCAGCTGGTTGAAAATGAATAAGTTGTATTACTAGAGCTGCCTGTTTTGTCACAATGAACAAATCATCATCAAACCTGATCTGATGGAGTCAGCTCTGCAGTACATCTCTGAAAGTTACAGTGAAGTTGAGTTTAGGGACTCCGTTATCTGTTCAAAAGGGCGTTGGTTATGTTTTTTAGAGCTTCATTGGCATCTATGCTCAGGTTGTTATTAACAACTGTAAAAAAAAAAAAAACTACATTCTAAGTCAGATGTTATACCTGATGTAAAAAAAAAGGGAAAAGCGCTTCCTGTTCAGCAAGTTTCTTAATGGAGAAACAGAAATTAAAGTGATTTAATCAGAACATGACTCAGTAGTGTCTTCAAAGTTGGCGTTTAGCAGGTTTCCAACAAAATATTATCCAAACGGAAGAAGGCCCGTTTCTTACAGCAACAGTTCACCACTGATAAACAGAAAAAATATGTACATTTTTAAAACTATATTAGTGTAGATGGGTGCACAGAACAGGTTTACCTGGTTTGTAAGGAAAAAAAATTAATATATTTTTGTTTGAAGCAATTAAAAAAAACTTGCTCAAACATGCTCTATAACAAATTTCACACCACAAAAACGTGATTCAAATTTAAGACAGAAAACTGAGCGTCAAAGTCAAAATGTGAAAAAAAATTTAATAAATCATCAGTTATAACCATCCTAAAAAAGTCTTACATCATGAAAGTCTTTACAAAAACACAGGATCATTTGGGCCTTTTTCCCAGCATCCTCAGTGTGATACAAGTAAAACAGAGAATGGAGGAGCAAGTGGGGGGTGAAGAGGCGTGAAAACAGAACCTGCTTGTGATGTGATTAAACGTCTGTTCTAACGCAGGGGTTCCCTGGAACAGAAACAGTCACAGGAGAGGGGAGGAGCAGAAATCAAGGCGGAGGGAAAGGATGAAGCAAATGCTCTTGGGATGCTTTAGCTGTTCTGAGACGAGCTTCGGTCGCTGCGCTGCTGCAGAAGTAAGAGGTGAGTGATTTTGTGGGTTACACACTTAAGATTCTGTTAGTCCAAATGGGTCTTTTTGGTTCAGGTTCAGGGCTTATCTAAGAAAGAAAAGAACTCCACTTTTATCTGAAAAGACAAATATTTAATTATGGATTTATAATTGACATAACAAAGATGGTTTATTCTGGTAGTCTTACTTTTGTCTTGAGTTATGAGTGTGAGTTTACGTGAAGGAATGCAGCCACAGCTGGAGGGATGAACAGGAGAAATGTTTCGCTCCAGATGGCCTCTCAGTGGTGATGGTCCACAATCCTGCCTCCCGATTCAGCTGCCAGCACCGATGTGGGCCAAATCCTGCCAAAACATGACCTCAGCTTATTTTGTTTCTCAGCGTGATCAATTAATCTTATCATATTTACACCGTGTTTTGATTTAACGTGGATTCGCTTTTACTAAATTTACACCATTTCAGGTCAGATATGTCATAGCCTTGAAATGACTTCCTGATGGTCTTTAGTTTTAACTATCAGCAGTTTGTAGGATGGTTAAAAAAATACCTGCATTTGTGTTTATAACGCCTGGAATTTATAGTAAGTTAGGTTTCTGGACTGATAGATTGACTGGTTGGTTGGTTAGTTGCAATATCTAAAACAACTTTATTTCATAGGCTAATCATGACAGGAGAGCTGTTTGTTTTTTTTACTGTGTCAAACAACTGAACATCCATCCATCCATTATCTTTACTTGCTTCATGCTTTTTGGGTCGCGGAGGTCACTGGTGCCCATGTCCAACCATCAATGTGCAAAAGGTGGGGTACATCCTGGACAGGTCTCATGTCCATCCAGGGACACATAGATACAAACGAGACAAATAACTTTCTCACTCACATCTAGGGACAATTTATAGTTACCATTCAGCCTAACGTGCATGTTTTTGGTCTGTGGGAGGAAACTGGAGTACCCAGAGAAAACCCACACATGCACGGAGAGAACATGCAAACTCCACACAGAAAAGCCCCCGGACCAGGATTTGAACCGGGGACCTGCTCGCTGAGAGGCAGCAGCTCTACCAGTTGTGCCGCCAGCGCAATGTAAAACTCATATTTTAATACATATGTTAAAGAAACGGACTAATATATTTTTGTGTGTGCATGGATTTGTGTTTTTACACTTCTAAAAAGAAGCAGACAGAATTTTAACCCACTTAAAACACTTGAAGTACCTCTAACTGTGTTTGTGCATGTATCTCGTTTTATTGGAATTTTATTACATCCTAATGTGACTTGATCTACTGATTCTCAGGTTTGAAGCTTCGTATCCAGCTGTGTCCACCCCAGTTGGTTATCAGTCCTTCCTGTTGTAGCCTGTTGAGTTGGACACCTTCACCTACTTCTTGCCTGCTGTTAAGGATAGCTGCTATCTTGATGCCAACAAGAAGTCGTCCCCAGAGGGGTCTAACTCCTGACAGTGCTGGCAGAACTACCTTTTCTTGAATCATTAAACTGGATGAGAGAAACCTCTGGATTCTGGTTTCTTTCCTGGTGAAGCTATGTCCTTGTGGCTACAGTAAAGTGTTCCTCAAGAAGTCGTCCTTGAGGAGTTTTGTGGCCGTTCTGGAGAAAAATACAAGCAGAACAAGATACGCTGAAAATTTGTTCCAATTTAGAACAATGGCTGTTCCAACTTTCATCGCTGCACCCAACCTGCCACCCCAGGTGGTCCTTTTTGCTGGACTGCTGCTTCTGGGCCACTGGGGGCCTTCAGGAGTCAGATGTCAGAACGACACTGAGCCAATTGTGTTGGAGGGAAAGTGTCTGGTTGTGTGTGACTCCACTCCATCAGCAGAGCCATCAGGAAATCCTCTGGGAATGTCTGTGAGATCTGGAACTGGCCGGGTGGCATTTTCAGCCATCCGTAACACTAACCATGAACCTTCTGAGATGAGCAACCGTACTATGACCATCTACTTTGACCAGGTGGGTTGTAAAAATGGGTGGTATAACTTTTTAAACAGAAACCAAGCTAAATACTGAAGCTGCACCATGTTCAAGTCAATTCATTGACATTAGAGTCCCTGAAGATTTGAAGGTGTTCAACAGTTAGAGTTGCTGCAACTATACTTTTAGAAAACAACTGGATTTTCCCATAAACCATAGACCTTGCAACAATTATATATGAAGAGAATGTGTCCCCCTCACATTTAAAAAATATTCATTTAAAACCCCCCACATTTACCATGACATATTATTCCACCCAGCGCCGTTTTTCTTTCTTCATGAACAAATCCATTCCACTTGATTAATAGAAGAACACTCAAACCTCTAAAAGTCCACTCCAGGTTTTCCTGGTTACCTCCAACAACTCCACACAGCATGCAATGTTTCCCCGAGGTCACTTGACTTGGAAGGACGCTCATCTCTTTGGGGTTTTTTTTGTTGACGGGGCGAGGGAGAGGAGGGGGAGACACCTCTGTGTTGTGCGATAGCTTAGCGCTACGTTAGTGCCAACAGTTGTCAGCCGGGTTGGGAGACTGCGATAAAGCCTTCCCTGGATTCGGAAACCTTACTGTTACTCAAATCCAGAGTGCTCAATTACAATAATCTTTACAGCTGGGCTGTACTTGTGCCGTTGTGTATGGCCCCTGTTTAAAGGGGAATAACATACAAAAAAGCAACATTTTATATAGATTTTTTTACTTTGATTCCACACATTTAAAGCACGTTTCTCACCAAGTTTGTGGAAATTCAGGTAAGGGGTTTTAAAGAGATTTCACTATATTTTGTTCATTTTGTTCTGTTACTTGAAAATTATTATGATTAAAATAATTGTTTGAAAAAAGGGGCAGATATAATAAGATTTTTTCTTCTTTCTGTTGCCTTTCATTTTAAATCTCTTGTATATTTTATATTGTTATGGAATTGTTTTGTATTTTTTTTAAATGAATAAACTTTATACCATACCATACCATACCATACCATATTCACACAAGGAGAGCTGTTGGTCAGGCTATTTCGTGTTGTACCATTAACTCTAAAATAATTAGTTTATTGTGTTTACTTACACCCCTCCCTGGGCTGCCACCTTACCGTGGTGGAGGGGTTTGAGTGTCCCACTGATCCTAGGAGCTATTCTGTCAGGGGCTTTACGTCCCTAGTAGGGTCACCCATGGCAGACAGGTCCTAGGTGAGGGACCAGACAAAGTGCAGCCCAAAGACCCTGATGAAGAGAAAAATAAATGGACTTAATGTTCCCTTGCCTGGACGTGGGTCACAGGGGTCCCACTCTGGAGCCAGGCCTGGAGGTGGGGCACGCGGGCGAGCGCCTGGTGGCCGGGCTTTTACCCATGGAGCTTGGCTGGGCACAGCCCGAAGAGGAGACGTGGGTCCCCCTTCCCTGGGTTCACCACCTGTGGGAGGGGCCAAAGGGGTTGGGTGTAATGTGGGATGGGTGGTGGCCGAGGGCGGGGACCCTGGAGGTCTGATCCTTGGCTACAGAAGCTGGCTATTGGGACGTGGAATGTTACCTCACTGGTGGGGAAGGAGCCTGAGCTGGTGTGTGAGGCTGAGAGGTTTCGGCTAGAAATAGTCGGACTCACCTCTACGCATGGCTCTGGCTCTGGAGCCAGTTTCCTTGAGAGGGGCTGGACACTCTTCCACTCTGGAGTTGCCCCTGGTGAGAGGCGCCGAGCAGGAGTGGGCATACTTATTGCTCCCTAACTTGGTGCCTGTGTGTTGGGGTTCACCCCGGTGAATGAGAGGGTGGCCTCCCTCCGCCTACATGTGGGGGGACGGGTTCTGACTGTCGTTTGTGCTTATGCACCAAATGGCAGTTCAGATTATCCACCCTTTTTGGAGTCCTTGGAGGGGGTACTGGAAAGTGCACCTCCTGGGGACTCCCTTGTTCTGCTGGGGGACTTCAATGCTCATGTGGGCAATGACAGTGAGACCTGGAGGGGTGTGGTTGGGAGGAACGGCCCCCCTGATCTGAACCCGAGTGGTGTTCTGTTGTTGGACTTCTGTGCTCATCATGGATTGTCAATAACGAACACCTTGTTCAAGCATAAGGGTGTCCATATGTGCTCTTGGCACCAGGACACCCTAGGCCGCAGTTCGATGATCGACTTTGTCATCGTCTCATCTGATCTGCAACCACATGTCTTGGACACTCGGGTGAAGAGAGGGGCGGAGCTGTCTACTGATCACTACCTGGTGGTGAGTTGGCTCCGATGGTTGAGGAGGATGCCGGTCAGACCTGGCAGACACAAATGTATTGTGAGGGTTTGCTGGGAACGTCTGGCAGAGTCTCCTGTGAGACGAAGTTTCAACTCCCACCTCCGGGAGAACTTCGAACATGTTCCGAAGGAGGTGGGGGACATTGAGTCTGAGTGGACCATGTTTTGTGCCTTTATTGTTGAGGCGGCTTACCTGAGCTGCGGCCGCAAGGTTGTCAGTGCCTGTCGTGGTGGCAACCCTCGAACCCGATGGTGGACACCTTCGGTGAGGGATGCTGTCAGGCTGAAGAAGGAGTCCTATCGGGCCTTTTTGGCCTGTGGGACCCCGGAAGCAGTTGATGGGTACCGGCAGTCCAAGCGACAGGGTGGTCGCTGAGGAAAAAAACTTGAGCTTGGGAGGAATTCGGAGAGGCCATGGAGAATGACTTTCGCACGGCTTCGAGGCGATTCTGGTCCACCATCCAGCGTCTCGGGGGGGAAAGCGGTACGCCACCAACACTGTTTATAGTGTGAGTGGTGTGCTGCTGACCTCAACCCGGGATGTTGTGGGTCGGTGGACGGAATACTTTGAAGACCTCCTCAATCCCACCGGCACGTCTTCCACTGAGGAAGCGGAGTCTGGGGACTCTGGGTCGGGCCCTCCAATCTCTGGTGCTGAGGTCACCGAGGTGGTTAAAAAGCTTCTCGGTGGCAGGGCCCCAGGGGTGGATGAGATTCGACTGTCTCTTGTTTAATTTTCTTCCTTTTACTTTGTTTTCCAGATTTTAGTGAACATTGGCAGCCATTTCGATCCAGCAACAAGCATCTTTGTGGCCCCCAGGAAAGGAGTCTATAGCTTCAGCTTTCACGTTGTCAAAGTTTACAACCGGCAGACAATACAGGTAACATCTTTAAGGATGGATGGAAAATTTAAGGTTCCTGTTTGCTTTTTACTGACAGCAGTGCATTGACTCTTTTACATGAAAGGTCTGTTTATCAGCAGTACAAATGCATTTATAACTAATTGTTTTATTATTTTTTATTTAACCTTTATTTATACAGGTAGTCTCATTGAGTCACGAGGACTCATTTTCAAGAGAGACCTGTTAGCAACCACAGACCACCTGCGAGGATCATGTATTTGTTTTGTGTTTTGTGACCCCTTTTGTTTTTCTGCACCAGTCCCTCATCGTCCTCTCCCAGGTGTTTGTAATTATTTCCTTGTTAGCGTCCCTTTATATCCTGCGTCTCTGTGTTCCCCCGTTGTCTGGGCATTAATCCTGTTCCAAGCATCATGTTCTGTTTCCCTCCATATTCCCAGCTCACTAAAGTACGTTTTGCTGCCACTTTTGTTTTCTTCAATAAATATAAATATAATTATAATTTTACCCTTGAGTTTTCCGAGCATCAGTCAGCATTTTGGGTTCAATCCACCACCAGTGACCGACACCACTGAGCTATAGTTGCAGTCAGGCCCAAAAAATCCGACCCGGCCCCAGCCCGTAGCTATCATTTACGAACCCCACCGGACCAAACAAATTAACAGTAATTACAGGTCAGAACCCGAAAAATACTCTGACATGTTTAATTAAGCTTTGACTGCTTTTATAGTTAACGGTCGGTGGACGCGTGCTGCTGAATAAAAGGGGCAGAAGATCGGAGCTGAGGGGGTGTTTGTTCTTTCATGGCCGTCAAAGTGCATTAAATCCCTGCTTCTGCCTGCATTCTGCATTATTCAGGCATGGACCCAGCTCTGACATGTCTGCTTTGGGATCTCACCTGTTTGGGTTGTCAGCTGCGCACGACCGCTGTGAGTGCAGTGGCTGAAAGTTCATTTGGGTGATGTCTTGCTGCCAGGCAGTACCGGTAGTCCCATATGAAGCTTAACTGAATTAATTTTTTTACCTCTTTCAAGGCCGGCTAGCATGTGGTCAAATGGCCGCATGCGGCTGGTGATTGTATGGCAAGCCATGTTACCATATAATTAGACTGTCAGTTGCATGCGTCTGCTGACGCAATCAAAAGCCTGACACCGATCCGGCCTGCCCATCCAGCACATTATTATGGCCCGGCCTGGCCCAAATTTGGGTCAGGCCGGGCCGGGCTTCGGGCCCAGATTTTGGGCCCAGGTTAGAAATGACAGCTCTACACTGAGCTACCACAGCCTCTGTGTGACGCATAGAGCTGCAATCTAGGGTGCCTGAGGGAGCAGATAGTGGGGGATAAGAGCGTTGCTCAAGGGCCTAGAGTGTGGCAAATGAGGGTGGAGGTAGGTGTGGGTGTTTCACCTTTCCCACCCTCATTTTGATGTTGTCTGTCGGGGGAGTTGGACTGGTAACCTTCCGGTCACATGCCCACCTTCTCTAACCTCTGCGTGACCACTCCCTTTATCTTATTTACTTTAATTTAACTCTTTTCTACCCTAAACTCTGTTCTCCACCTCACTGAACCATCACCTCTGGAAGCCTTGACTGAGCTGTGCGAGAACTTCCTACATTTCTTTCTGGAAAAAATTGTGACCACCCGGGCTCTCATTTCCCCTCCAACTCATGACCCATCCATCCCACCTCAATCTGTAGCTCCATTTGACCATTTTGAACCCATCACTCTATCTTCTCTAGAGCAGGTCATGTGCAGCTTGAAACCTTCTGGTTCCCCCTTTGATGTGGCCCCCCCTCGACTACTAAAGGAGGCTTTTCCTACTCTAGGTCCGTCCATTCTTGCTATTGTAAATAGCAGTTTATCCACTGGCATGGTGCCAAAAACCTTTAAACATGCTGCTGTCCAGCCTCTCCTAAAAAAAACAAACCTTGACCCCTCAGTCGTATCCAACTTCCGGCCTGTCTCCAGACTCCCATTTGTTTCTAAACTACTGGAGAAAATAGACAAGTCCCAGTTGAAGTGCTTCCTGGAGGGTCACGCTATCCTAGAGTTATTCCAATCTGACTTTAAACCTCTCCATAGCACTGAAACTGCCCTGCTGAAGGTTTTTAATGACATTTTCTTAACCACAGATACCGGTGATTCTGTGCTGCTTGTCCTACTGGACCTTACAGCTGCCTTTGACACCATGGACCATGAGATCTTCTTTGCTAGGTTAGAGCAGTGGGTGGGCATCACAGGGTCAGCCCTCAATTGGTTCAGATCTTACCTCACTGACAGATCCTTTTGTGTCTCCATCAAGGATTTTAGTTCTGCAGCGACAGAGCTTAAATGGGGGGTTCCGCTGGGGTCCATCCTGGGTCCCCTCCTATTCTCTTTATACCTGCTGCCACTTGGTGCTATTTTCCGGAAACACAACATACCCTTTCACTTCTACGCCGATTACTGTCAAATTTACTTCCCCCAAGACACAATGGTACATGCTCTATTCAACCTCTGCTCGACTGCCTGGCTGACATCAGGGACTGGATGGCTTTAAATTTCTTAAGTTTCAATTAAAAGAAGTCTGAAGTCATGTTGTTCCCTCCCAATGACACGACCACAAAGCACTGCATCGACCTCTCTGTTCTAACCATGTCAGAAAAACAAAGAGTCACTAATCTGGGCGTGATAACGGACCCTTCCCTGAAACTTAACAATCATGTAAACATGATTGTTAAATCATGTTTCTTCCAACTGAGGCAGCTGTCTAAACTGAAGCCCATATTGTCCAAAAATAGCCTGGAGACAGTAATACATGCATTCATTACATCTAGGCTTGATTACTGCAATTCGCTCCTGTTTGGTACAAGTCAGACCTCTATTGTACGACTACAACTGGTCCAGAATGCAGCAACCCGATTTTTAACCAGTACAGGCAAAAGACAGCACATTACTCCAGTTTTGGCCTCGCTGCACTGGCTACTGGTTCACCTTCGAATCCAGTTCAAAATACTCCTATATGTCTACAAATCGCTGAACAGTTTGCCCCCCCATCTCTCTGATCTGCTACAGCCGTATGTCCCACCATGTTCCCTGAGGTCAGGAGACCAGTTGATCCTCACAGTTCCAGGAACTCTTCTTAAGCGCAGAGGTAACAGGGCCTTTTCTGTAGCAGGACCAAGACTTTGGAACGAGTTACCTCTGCTTGTCAGACAGGCCCCCTCCCTCTCGGTTTTCAAGTCCCGTTTAAAAACCCACTACTGTTCAGTAGCATTCAACACAAGATGATCTGTGTTTTGAACCTGTATGCTCCACACTTGTTATTCGTCATATTTATTATCTGCATCGTTTTTATGTCTATTTTCTGATTTACCTCATTTTGTATATTGCTTTGTGTGTTGCCTGTTGTTCTGTCTGTACAGCACTTTGGTCGGCCTTGTCGCTGTTTTAAGTGCTCTATAAATAAAATGGTATGGTATGGTAATTTATCTACATCTCTAAAATAATTTAAGAACTGCTACAATCACCTTAAAGATGTCCTTTTATATTAAACTGAGGGCTAAACAGTTTCTTCTCAAATATTTAGCCATTGTTTTTAACCCATTTTCACCTTTTTTCCTTGCTGTCTTTCTCCTTTGTTTTGTCTTGTTGCTTTCAGGTCAGCTTGGTTCTCAACGGCTGGCCGGTGATCTCGGCTTTTGCAGGGGACCAGGATGTGACGAGGGAAGCAGCCACCAATGCCGGGCTGGTGATTTTGGAGCGAGGGGACAAAGCTTATCTAAAACTGGAGAGGGGGAACCTGATGGGAGGGTGGAAGTACTCCACCTTCTCTGGGTTTCTGGTCTTCCCTTTGTAGGGTCTACTGGTGTATGAGTAAATGAGGTTTTCTTGTGTAGAGAGGAGAAAACGAAAGATTGTTTCAATACTTACATCGTTAAGGAAGTAACTTTGGATAAATCTGAATAACAGTATCCACATCAAGCAGTTCATGTGAATTAGATGATTGAGTAAATTCACCAAACGTCAAACAGTCTTGAATGTAATTTCTATTACTTTTATGCTTTGTCATCTGTTACAGAAACTTTGTTCTTAATGGTTTGTTTGCACCAGGTGTAACTTTGTTTAAAATATGTGGTTTCCCTTTCATGCATGAAACAGCATTTAAATGTTCGTGTCAGAAAATAAAATTGCTGTTTATTGCTTATGGTAAATGATCTGTACTTATATAGCGTCTTTCTCTTATCAAGATACTCATAGCACTTTACAACACAATCTGTGTCCTCATTTACCCATTCATACAACACTCTATAAGATCTCTACAAAGACTAGTCAGAGCTTTACCACATTCATACACCGATGAGACACACATTTTGGAGGTAATGACAGGTTCAGTGTCTTGCCCAGGGAAACTTTGGAATGTGACTTTTGGTGGAATCGAACCCCCAACTCTCACATTGGAGGACAACAGCTCTAACCACTCAGCCACAGTTGTCCATGGGCATGTTAGTCTTTGATTGCTGTAGTATCTCGCTGGGCTGCAACTGTTAGAAACTAACTGGACTCAAAATTGTGGAAAAACTGTAACAAGATAGATAATTATGCCGCTGCAGTCTGAGTGTTTGCACTGAAAACAGTGAGCTATGTGGCCACGTTTTGAACAGCTATAGTTGTTTTTATTCAAACTAAATCTAAATTTATGTTGTTTTCATTATTTTATATACTATTTTTCATAGTAAAAAACACAACAGAACTATCTTGTTCTAAACAAACTGTCTTTCTGATAAGGATATATTGGTCATATACGTAAACTATTTTTGCATGTTCAATACGTCACATCACACTAATGTATGATTGATTTGAAAATGGTAAATATTTGCTGTTGTGCTTTAAAGTCTGGCAACACAAACAGTGAAACAGACACAACAAAATTACTAAAGGGACGGGTTAATATGTTCAAAATTTCGACACTTATTAAAGTTGATACTTTGCATTTCAAGCAATCAGCCATTCAAAAATCTGTCTCTGAGTTCTGTCCTCCCTCCTGTGGACAAAGACTGTCCATGGCGTCTCTCCACGGTGGATCCGGTAGCAGATGGAGGATTGGCAGCGAAGAGTTGTAACTGGCGCCAGAAACTTGCTGGGTTCATGCTGGACTATCACAAGTGATTTGTGTCAGCTTCCTGGTACACAGCGGAGGTCGGTGTTAGCACTTCACTGAGTCGCATGTGGCGGCAAAAAACAAAATGCATTCTGGGAATGGAAGACTGGAAAAGAGCAAGGTGCAAGAGAATACATGAGTGCGTGCTAGTGCAGGATAAAAAATAATTTTGCTATTTGTTTTCTACTTCCATTTTAGATTTTGCTCACAAACACTGCATATCCATGTGATGGGAATTTGATTGGCTATATGTTCATAGCGTCAGAGCTGATTGGTCAGCTCTTTATGCTCCCCACTCCTTTTAGCATAGGAATATTGTACAGGTGCTGGTCATAAAATTAGAATATCATGAAAAAGTTGATTTATTTCAGTAATTCCGTTGAAAAAGTGAAACTTGTATATTGTATTCATTCATTGCACACAGATTGATATGTTTCAAATCTTTTATTTATTTTAATGTTTATTATTGGAACTGACAACTAATGAAACCCCCAAATTCAGTATCTCAGAAAATTAGAGTTTGTGAAAAGCTTCAATATTGAAGACACCTGGTGCCACACTCTAATCAGCTAATTAACTTAAAACACTTGCAAAGTCCTTTAAATGGTCTCTCAGTCTAGTTCTGTAGGCTACACAATCATGGGGAAGACTGCTGACTTGACAGTTGTCCAAAAGATGACCATTGACGCCTTGCATAAGGAGGGCTAGACACAAAAGGTCATTGCTAAAGAGGCTGGCTGTTCACAGAGCTCTGTGTCCAAGCACATTAATAGAGAGGTGAAGGGAAGGAAACAATGTGGTAGAAAAAAATGTACATGCAATAGGGATAACCGCACCCTGGAGAGGGCTGTGAAACAAAACCCATTCCAAAATATGGGGGAGATTCACAAAGAGTGGACTGCAACTGGAGTCATTGCTTCAAGAACCACCAAGAACAGACGTATGCAAGACATGGGTTTCAGCTGTCGCATTCCTTGTGTCAAGCCACTTTTGAACAAGAGACAGCGTCAGAAGCGTCTCACCTGGGCTAAAGACGAAAAGGACTGGACTGATGGCAAGTTGTCCAAAGTTATGTTCTCAGATGAAAGTAAATTTTGCATTTTCTGTGGAAATCAAGGTCCCAGAGTCTGAAGGAAGAGAGGAGAAGCATAGAATCCACGTTGCTTAAGGTCCAGTGCCAATTTTCCACAGTCAGTGATGGTTTGGGGTGCCATGTCATCTGCTGGTGTTGGTCCACTGTGTTTTCTGAGGTCCAAGGTCAACACAGCATCTACCAGGAAGTTTTAGAGCACTTTATGCTTCCTGCTGCTGACCAACTTTGTGGAGATGCAGATTTCATTTTCCAACAGGACTTGGCACCTGCACACAGTGCCAAAGCTACCAGTACCTGGTTTAAGGATCATGGTATCCCTGTTCTTAATTGGCCAGCAAACTCGCCTGACCTTAACCCCATAGAAAATCAATGGGATATTGTGAAGAGGAAGATGTGATACACCAGACCCAACAATTCAGAAGAGCTGAAGGCCACTATCAGAACTACCTGGGCTCTCATAACTCCTGAGCAGTGCCACAGACTGATCGACTCCATGCCACCACGCCGCATTGCTGCAGTAATCCAGGCCAAATGAGACCCAACTGAGTACTGAGTGCTGTACATGGACATTCTTTTCATGCTCATACTTTTCATGTTCATACTTTTCCGTTGTCCAACATTTCTAAAAATCCTTTATTGGTTTTAAGTAATTCTAATTTTCTTAGATACTGAATTTGGGGTTTTCATTAGTTGTCAGTTATAATCAACATTAAAACTAAATAAACAATTGAAAAATATCAGTCTTTGTGTAATGAATATATATACACAAGTTTCACTTTTTGAATGGAGTTACTGAAATAAACTTTTTCATATTCCAATTTTATTACCAGCACCTGTATAGTAGTAAATGTTTCTATTTTCTGTTGTTCAATAAATTTAAGGAAAAAAAGAAAGGTGTGGGTGTCCCCGGTCATATCACAATGCTCGGTCAATATTATTGACTCTGAAAAGAGCCGATAGATTGGTCAAAATAGGTGTCAGTTAAAAGAGGAGGGTCTACGCCACCATTTTGACTCCATGATATTTAAATTACATGGCCACATCACAGTTCCTACAATAAAAACAATGCACTAAATATTATGTCATCACATCACAATTGAAACAGTTAACATTACAATTAAAAATTTGACAAAATACTTTAACAGGTTCCAGTGAGGAGACAAGAAATTGTTTTTAAGGATTTCTGAATCTCCACTATAAATTAAGAACATAATTTCAAAATAAAACTTTATTTTAATCTATACACTTAAGTTTAAATATGTTTAAAACTAAATATTTTTCCAGCTGGTTGAGAGCAAAAAAATACAAGTATTATGAATACGTTTAAATATGTAAATGTCATGTGGAAAAGGTTTTTTTGAATTGCTGTTTCAGATTAAACCTTTAGTGACAAGGTAGCTCTTAACGCTGTAACAAGTCTGTATGGATCAGCACAACACCTGACACAGGACAATAATAAAAAAAAAGTTTTATTTATTAAAGACGTTCGTCTGGGGAGGATCCGAGCCTCGGTTCTGGTCCAATCCATGAAGACAGACAGGCTAGTGACTGCAAAAAGTTTCTGGGAGCTGAGAGAGGTGGTGTGCACGTCACCAACTTTCTGTGGCAGGAGCAGGGCTGAGACAGAGAACGTTGGAGGGCTGGGCAGGAAACAGAATCCAGGGACACAGCAGGGGTCGAGAGCCAGGAGCTGCGTGAACAGGCAAAAGAATGATCCGCAGTCGTGGTCGAAGAGGAGAGCGAGGTTGTACCGTGTAGGCTGAGAGCGTGGTATCCAGACAGGGGCAAAGTCAAAGCGAGGAGTCAAGAGTGAATCTGTGGTCAAAAGCGAAGAAACTAGGAACAAGAGAATGCTGGATAATTTACTGGCTGTGAGGCTTTCAATAAACTGGCACTGAGGAGAGTGAGAGTGGAGCTTAAGTAGTGAGCTGAACAGGTGTGGCAGGTGAGTGGTGATTGCAGAGACAGGGTGCAGCAGATGAGTGCAGATTGCTGAGAGAGAGTGACAGGAGCAGAAAATGGGTGATAGGCAGTGCAGGACCAAACAGGATAAAATAAACAGAAACTGAGGGGGATCCAGGGACGAACTATGACAAACGCAAACTTTTTCTTGTTCGAACCTTAAAAAGTTAAAATGTAAACGTAAGTGAATATACAATTAATAACATCAAAATACAAACATTTATTTGTCAAAATCATAGTAAACATTGATTTTGAAATTAGTGTAAAGCTTTATTTAATATTTTCATTGAACAGAAAATAATAAAATTATATATATTAATTCAACCTTTATTTAGACAAGGAAATCCCATTGAGCCTTGAGGACTCATTTACAAGAGAGACCTGATTTTGAAAAAAAAAAAAAAAAAAATGATTTCAACAAAGAATGATGACAACAATGGACAACAATGACGAAAATAGACAATTATAAAAAGAGGCATACTTTTTTTTTAACAAATTAAAATAAGATGGCAAAAAGAGTAACAAAAACAGCTAGATTATAAGGTGAATGTAGAAAACTAAAAACAGGAACATGTCTGCATTGGTTCTTGCCAGGAGTCCAACAGATTCTTAAAGCCACATAGAGAGGTCAAGGTCGAGAGCTTCGGGTCTTTTTATAAGATATTCCAGGAAACAAGAGCGG